TGCACGGGAGAAGCCTATCTTGTCAATGTTAGAGGAGATTCGAACGTACTTGATGCGACGAATCGTGGTAAAGATGGAGGCATGCAACAAATGGAGAGGAGTCATGGGACCAAGAATAATGAAAATCATTCAGAAAAATACAACTATATCACGGGCTGAATATGCTGACTAGTTAAGGAACCAAAAATTCCAAATACGACACCATGAAACTCGAACTTTGTGTATAGTTGACCTAGCTGCTAGGACTTGTTCATGTCGGCTGTGGCAGTTAACGAGTATATCATGTAGCCATGTTATTGCGGTATTATTATCACGAGGCATGCAGAATGTCACAAATTATTTGGATGATGTATATAAGAAAGAAGCGTACATTCGGGCATATAAACCGACAATATCCCCAGTGACAAGCCTAGATACATGGCCGAACACCAAAAAAGAAATGACGAAAGGAGGCAAATGAAACATCCAAACCGTCTAACACAACAGCATCCGCTGATGCACCTCTATCTAGGAAATGACTAGTGATAAGGTGTTCTTTATGTGGTGTTTCTGGGCACAACAGGAGGAAGTGCAGAGGAAGGGAACCACCAGCTGCAAACTAAAATGCTATTGTTCTTGTTTTTGTCATTTTTTGTTGTAATGTTTTCTGTTCGTATTCCATATTAATGTGAACAATTGTTATTATTGACTAATAATATTTGGGGTGTCGATGTAGGATGTCCTGCTTTGATGTGCATTGGGATTGGGGATTATAGGGTTATACTTCGCAATCTTCATCAATCCAGGGTTAATGTCGTACAAAGGCACATAAAAAATAGGGTTTAGATGTCTCAGGTTTAGAATAATATAAGTTTGTATAGCACATTGTTATATGTTTCCAGGGTTGTATTATGAAACATATTCAATGCGTAGGGGGGTTTCGCAACCAATTCAGATAACAAGATGTGTCGCACAGTCGTTACTAATGAACAACCAGGCAGTAAGAGATGAAATAGAGGATGAAATTGGAACATCACATTGAACATCTAACTTACAAAACTTGAACATGAAAGCACAATATTCACTAACATCCATTCAGTACACACATCTACAAGGCGATCAAAGCTTTATTTTCCGCAAAAACCCACATCATTACACACCCCCACAATCATTAATGTACCTCTGCAGTTCTGGATCTCAATAGCCCAGGTATGATCTCCAAAGATCTACTGCACATAGGTGGGTGAAACCATGAGAAGTACCCATAACCTCCATTTTGTTGTAGAAAACTAAACAAATATCAGAGCTTGAGCTTACTTAGTAAAAAAATGGTTCAAAAATTGTGTTCGGATTTCCATTACCAACCGTCGTGTGCATGTGAAGAACCTTCTTCCCGGGTTCGCTTTCGTCCACTAAGTCTTCAACTTAATCTCCGTTCCGCATCTGTACAAACGGGATTCCATCGGAGCTAAGGGTCCAGTATTGCAGCCACGTACACAAGAAACAAAGTGGTGTCAGGTAATGAAATGAGGGACAAACCACCCTCTTCGTGTTGGGACGGTATTATTAAAGATGAAAATATAAATTGACGAATTTGCCATTTCTTATTTATCCATTTTGTCCCTTTTTTTCTAGGATTTAACGTCACACCAGACGGATGCTGACGGCATGGGTGTTTTTCACACAAAACGTTTGAAACATGGGATTTTCTGTGATTTTCAATAAGTATGGATATATCGCAAAATGAAACGTTTACATGGGTGTAGTATTCTGCTATTAATCCTATAATTTAATATTTAACAAATTGTAAAAAATGTTTCACAAATTAGAGTGTTAAATTATAATATTAATAAATTTAATATATATTATGTATATTACTAAAATAAAAATTTAGGAAAACTATAACATAAATTAGGACAATTAAATCATCATCATCACATTCTAATATAGCATATATTTTCTTTTGTATAACATATGCTCTCACCTAATATTTTTCACTTCTTTCACTTTCTCTGTTACTCTACATATCCCTAAAATCGGTTCATTCACTCCATTATCGCGCCCAAATCTTCATTCATATTGGCCACAAATTGACAAGTATAGTTCTTCAACATATATTTCCGCATAGTTAAGTCACGAAGTCATTTTCAATTTTACTAGTTCACCCATCTACAGTCACCAGCTTCATTCCAATCGTTTTTTTTTTATCACATAGTTGTGACAAATTTTTATTTCAACTGCATCAGTATTCATCAAGGTAAGAATAAGGGATTGCTATTATTGCAAGAATATGGTCACAATCCGAAAGGTGTTCTCTACTGTATTATGATCGGTGCTATTATCTGTGACCTTCTTATATGTATACTATATTAAATTTGTGATCAGTATCGTTATCTTCAACATTCATATTTATGACCTTCATATTTGTGACTAGTGTTTTTATTTGTGACATTCTTATATATATTATATTCAATTTGTGACTAGGACCGTTATTTATAACCTTCAGATTTTTTGTGATGTTCATATTTGTCATCAATGCTGTTGATTTGTGACATGTTCTATTATTATGATATATTGAATAAAATTTAATTAATATAACTATATTGTTTTAACAGTTATAGGAGTTATGCATGTTTCCCTGCTATATGGAGGTCACACTTCATTCTAGACTTCTAGTGGAAGATTCTTGCATAGAGCTAGTGAACTTTGTTATTAGAGTTGGGGGTAGGTTATGTAGAGGTTGCAATTACAATGACCTCTACATAGAATTCTACATTGCCTCATGTTCGAATATTGGACAAAGATCTCATTGCAATGCATGCAATATGAGAAACACGTGTCAGTTAATATCTCCTCGACATTATTGAATTTTGGTCAAAAAATTTGTGATCACATTTATTGTAGACTTTGCAGTAAGTTTTCTCAGGAATTAACAAGATTATGGAATCATATATTTCCATTCTTGCATAAATAAGAACAGTAGACATGCCATCAAAAATCAACATAAAATTAAGGTCACAAACACAGAATATTCAATCTCCTTCATATGCCCAAACACGAAACACCCAACTCAAATAGTATGTCACAAAAACTAACATCGTGAATGGTTTTGTGAATTTAATCCTTTACAGACCTACACAATCAATCACAAACCTAAACATGGTTAACAAAAAATAGGTTACAAATACTAACTGTAGGCTACAGTCAGCAAACACATATATCACAATTGCAATACCTAGGTCACTAATATCAGATTACATAATACCAAGAATTAGATATTATCAGAAAGTAGGTCACATTTTACCCAAAATTTTGTAACCTAATATCATGTCATAATATACAAATAGGTCACATTTTACCAAAATTAGGTCACAAAAAAAACCATTCACATCACACCGAACATACCCCATATACTGGATTTGACATTACAGTGCATTTAAACAAAAAATGAACTATATTTGTGGATTTACCTTATTCGATGAGGATTTGCCATTGGAATCGAACTTTTTCTTTTCTATTTTTTTTCCTTGTAAAGGTTCTTGAGAATTTTTCTTTATTTTCCCTTTGTGTTTAACTCGGGGTTTCCTCATTAGAACGAGAATCCTATCCTATACTTCTAGTCAACACTATTTTTTTTGAACACAGGTTCACGAAGTTTCAAATAGTAAAAGTTATGCTTGAATCGAAGTTTCAATGGAAGAAACAGTAAGAGAATGAGCAATTTCAATGGAGTTTCCATCAAAATTTCACATTTGAAAATATTTGAAATGATTTTATCTCTATCAGTTTTAAATATAGAAGATAAAGGCTAATAACCATTTAGATATTAATTTACCTTTTTAATTTGTATTAACATAAAATTAGTAATATTGCGTTATATTTATAATATTAAAATAATAATAACACCCAGGTTATGAAATTATAAGTTAAATACCTGAATGTTGAACTACGTAGTTAAAATATATGATTTTACTTATTTCTCCAATAAAATATGCAAAAGTTAAAATATCGTGGGCCATATCATTCTATGAGAAAATTACCTATAACCCTTCTTTTTAAATTTTAGTTTCAAAATTCAGGTGATAATTATTATTTAAAAAGAAAAAATACATAACCCTAACATAATACCTTCTCCCATCCGTCAAAATATTTCTCTCTAAAAAAATCCCCCAATGCACCATACCCAATACCCACCCCAATCTAGCATAATCTCTCCATCTTCGCCCCCACTCACATATCTCATTCCTCCATTGGCATCCCCACCGTCTACAACAGCATCCCCACATTCAACACCATTATTCTTCACAATAAATGAATTGAGATCAGAATAAATGTTCTTCAAAATTTCCTCCATGACGAGTCTGGTTAGTAATTGAAGCCATCACTTTCGACGAAGTCATTTGAGCCGATTTTTTCGAAATTCATTTAGATTTTCTCTAAAAAATTTTGGAATCGAATCAAAAATTGAAATATTCTTATCGTTGAGCAACTCACAACTTTAAGATATTGTGATGGTCGAAGTTGGTTTGAACACGGCCACGGTGATTGTTAGCACAGTTGGTCGGTTTGTTGGTAAGATGGGCGACATAAATACTATGTCTCAATAAAGAAAGATACGAGTTTGCTTTAGATGATTTATTGTCATATAGTGGGCAACTAATTCAATGCGCAAGTCTTTTTAGATCAGATGAGATGCAAATGAGATATGGTAAGGCAAAACGTTTCAGCCTTAAACATTTGATTGGGATTTCTCTTAAAAGATGAATTTGCAAGTCTATTCCTGTGGTTATGGTGGTTTGTGATTGATAGAAATTGTGTGGTTTGTACCAAAGGAATAACATGGCCACGGTGACGGTGGTGATGGGAATGGTGGTGTGCCAAATGAATAACATGGCCAATATTCTCTCTCATTTTGGATCCCTCTTATTTTGGATTTGATTTTGCCGTGATGGGGCACGTTTGCCTTGAATAGGGGACGCGGGATTTAGCATGGAGACTTGGGGGGAAGTGAAGAGTGGAAAATGGTAGCCATTACAAAGAAGTTGAAAGTGAAAACGGTATTGTAGATTGAGGTAATGGTAACATAATATTGATGGATTGTTGTTGTGGATTTGAGATGAATGTTGCATGGATTTGACATTGTAGTGGTGATTGTTGTTGTAGATTTGAGGTGAATGCATTATTTTTTGTTGTGGATTTAAGTTGAAGGTGATAGTGGTGGTGACTAGTGGTGCTAGTCCGCGATGTGTGCATATTTGTTTGTTATAACTCCTTATGCCCAAATATGTGTTTATTGTGACTTGATCACATATCGTCACAGTTAAGATTGACCTTATCACAGACAGACACACTATTAAATGGGATTAAATAGTACAATATCAAGATTTTAACCATTTCTTCATTTGTATTATTCACCCATCCTTTGTTGTGGTGTGTGATGCGGGTGGCGGTGGGATGTAACGGATCAGATGAAGAACGGTTTGTAGGCCAGGCCGTGCTAGTGATGCGGGTAGTGGTGGTAGGGGTAGTGGTAGTGGTAGTGGGAGTGGTGGGGGCAGAATGAGTTGGATAAAGAGCAGCTGTGACCAATTATTGAGTAATTGTGACCATTAAAACGAATAAATTGTGATTAAGAAATAATATATAACCTAAAAAATGTGTGATTCATAATTAAATTTGTAATTGTGACATACAATTTGTGTCTTCGTGATTGATAAATAAGCCGTGACCAATTCATTTGACAATTTGTGATCCTGAAATAAGTTGTGACTTATAAATTTGTGATTTTGATCAATAAATAAGTTGTGATAAATTAATTTGATAAATTATGAACGAAAAATAACTTTTGACCAATTAATTTGATAATTTGTAATCATGAAATAAGTTGTGACCTATAAAATTTATAATTTGTAATCGAGAAATAGCTTGTAACATATAAAATAGGCGTTTGATTAATATACAACAATATGTCATAGTCAAATAACAACAGGTCATAATGAATGCATTACAAGTCACAAACATCCATAATGAAAATAGATTTGATCACAGACAGTCACAAATAACACAAACTTGGTCACAAAGAACCACAATTAACATATAAAAGGTCACAAATAGACAAAATTAACAAAAATTGGTCACACAAAAGTCATTGTTCACATATTAGATCACAAAACACCGTTGACATAGACATAGTCACATGTAGTCACAGTCAAGGCGATGTTGGTCACATATAATCAATGTTAAGACAAATCAGGTCATATATAGTCATATTTAAGAAAGATTTGGTTACTAACAGTCACATTTAAGAAATACCTAGTCACATATAATCAAAATCAAAATTAAGATAAACCTGACCACAGATGATCATACTAAAGACATATCTGGTCACTAATAATAATAGCTTACAAAGATCTGGTTACAAATAATAACAAATTACACATATTTGGTCACAGACATCCAATATTATAGCAGACCTGATCATATACAACCAGGTTAAGATATACATAGTCACAAAATTATTAATTAGAAATGTTTCTGACATATATGGTCAAATTTTTTAATTACAAATTATACGATTAATCGGCCACGACCACTAATTTTTCTTTGCACACCATTTCTATTAGTCATAAATCACACCATTTCTGTTAGTCATAAATCACTTGCTAGCATCTTACTATAAAATAGAAATTTGAGAATTCACTTATCTATTATTAGAAGTTATTGACCAAATGTTTTATAGAATAGAAAATGAGGGGCTTCCTTTGCAAAATTGGAGTTAGGGCACCACTACCTAGCATCCACTTGGACCCATTTTCTTCACTTGATACAGACAGAGGCTGAAAACGCAGAGGACACAGAGCAGAAACGGGAAAGGGAGAAAAATTATGTGTCAACTTCTTCAAGCTTGAGTGAGTTCCATTCTTCAATTTCTTTTCAATTTTCACAGCAATTTTACAAATTAACTCCCAACTTAGTTTCAATTTGCTACTGCTCATCCGCATCACCGCCCATGGACGTCCCAAATTCACCTAAAAAAGTGGTGGTGAGTTTGCACCGCTTATTTCTTATCCAAAAAGGCGCGGCCGTCACACTTGTCGAAAAATCATCCATTGCTTGTGTTGCCTTCGATAAGGCCGACCGTCACAATTCGTCCCTCTTACTCTACGGCTAAAGAAAGAAGAAAAATAGTATACAGGAAAAACAAAAGAAATCGAAACCCTAAATTTTTGAAAATGACAATGGCAGGGCGATTAAGATCGGGTTTGTCATGCCTCAACCGAGTCCTCGCCTCTAACACTATCTTAGCCGCCGTCGCCCAAAGATCCACGCATGAAATCCCTCATCCGACCTCTCACCAACACAGATTTTCACTCTAAAATACTGGTAACATGGCCCAGGTAATAAAATTGAGAGGTTCTTCTTATGCAATACTTAGTGGACATACATTGTTCATGAGCTATCTTATTTCGTCTTCTTACCTTTGTTTTCGATGTTTGTGGTGAGGCTCAGTGGAAGCTAAGGCAACAAGATTGAACTGAACCGGGGTACCTAGTCGATGCTATTTCGTAAATTTTTTATAGTGTCATTTTAAGACTTCTATAGATGATGTTCAAGTAATTGGTATTCAGTTATAAGAAAATGTTTATTTGCAGAACAATCACTCACCCATGTGGGATAAACTTTTTGTATTTCGAATTTGTTTGCATCAAGTAGAGTTAGTGGCAAGTATTATGCACTCTTTGTATTTCAACCTGTGTTTCTAGATTTCTCGTTCTAACTTCCAACTTGTGCAGGTGCTTTTGAGCTGATTTGTGATGAAAATAAATCTGGATCTTGCTTATGGATATCCAACAGAAGGGGCTTGGAGTATTGGCCAACTCCTATAGAAAAAGCAAAATACAAGACTTCAAGGAGAGAATCTCCAGATACGGTCCCATTGAATATTCAGATCCCCCAAAATTTTGAGAAGATGTAAGAAACCATGTCTCCAGCATCTTGCATTGTGCATTGGCTGGACCATGTGTATTTGTGAACACCACAAACTACTATGTGGTCACAAGAAGGCACGTGTGCTCAGTTTAATACAGAATCTCTCATTTGATTTGATTTTTTTATATGTATTTCTTCGATCTTGTCCTTTAGAATTGTTCACACTCTGAGTCACAACTTTCGAAGTGCTACAAGTGTGGTACGGGCTCCTTTGAGATTGCCACTGAAACCAGATGATTTTCTCATGAAAATCATTTATGCCGGTGTCAATGCTAGTGATGTAAGTTTATTATTCTGATATCTAAATTTTGGTATTTTTTATATTTAAAAGAAATTAAGATATCTAAGTTCAGTGTCCAAATTTTTTAAATAAGAAAAGAAGCCAATTTTCCTTGCGGTCTTATGGTAAATATATGCAAATTGAGCATTGCATCTGGCATGTTTTGTTTGTTTGCTTGGTTGGTTGGACTTGTACAAGCATCATAGTTTCAAGTTTGATTAGATTGATGAGTAGAAGGGCACACTCAAAATACACATATATCTCATACAGTTATGGTGGATTTCGGTTTTCTAAATTTCATACATAATAATATATTATAAGTATATGCGATATAGTATTGTAATTTATGACATGCTGTTTGAAAATTGAAATATTTTTGTAAGTTTGTTAAATGTGAAATTATAAGTATTGTAGTTATGTAATTTTCCCCATTCTCATTTACAACTCTGTGCCCAATACTTCATCTGATGACAGATTTATGGGCTTACAGGAGAGGCCCATAATAATTGCTTATCCAAACAATCCTCAAAATCTCTGTGCTTGAACCACCACAGCAACCAGGGCTGCTGCCATGGCATTCACACTGTTTCAATCCACACTCCTCTCAAAGCCCTCTCTTTTCTCTTACAGAAGAAGCTTTGCCTTTTGCATACAATTGTCTTCTTTCTCCACATCTTCTGCTTTCCCTTCAGACAAATTCCAGCCCAACAAGAAGTGGAGGCAACCAGTGGCATCAGTTCTCGAGCTTGGTGGCGTCAAGATTGCCAAAGATGGTAACATGCCCAATTCTGGAAATTAATTTTTTCTTCATTTGCTTCACTTTACGTTTGGTTCTTTTTGCTGTAGGATATGAATATGTTGTGGGTGTTTCATTTTTTTCTCGTTGTAGGATATGAAAGTTCGTATCTTGGTTGTTTTGCTATGAATTACTTTATCAGATTTTATTTATTTTTTTACTAGATGGGTAATTCTGCAAATCGACTATTTGGATTGACTATTGTTTAGAAAAAACTTGAATATCTTTGACTTAAAAGGGCGGGTTTGTGCAATTGGTACTGAATAATGCTTTGTAAACTGGACTTACCCAATAGTCCATGTGGCAGGGCACCGCCACACTCTCTAATGAATTAAAATGCATCCCATGAAAACGTGGCAGTTACCTTACTGCCACTAGATGATGATGGGTAAGCACCTTTTACAAATAGCATTGCTCATTGTTATTTTGAAGTGAGTGGAACAAAAGCGAAAGAGAATGTGCACCTTTTATTCTAGGATATGTGTTCTGTGTATTTGCAGATTGATTATGGCTTAATGGAAGGTTTTGCTTTCTTGTGTTGAAATTTTTTCAATTTATGCATGGGCTGAATGTGGGGGGGCTGGGAAAAATGGAGTAGATTTTTCATATATTTATATCTGTTCCCATTTATTTAATGGGTTGTGTGATCATGCCATATTTCTCGAATCATTGCTGGTCAACTTATGGAACATTGGATGATTAAATTTGCAGAAATAGTAAGAGATGACCCAACAAACAATGTTCCTGATTCAATATTCTCAAAGCTTGGAATGCAGCTTCACAGGAGGGATCAACATCCCCTTGGCATCATGAAGAATGCAATCTATGACTATTTTGACACAAATTATCCCAACAAATTTGACAAGTTTGATGATTTGTGCCCAATAGTTTCGACTATTGCGGTAGGTTAATTGGTCCATAAAGGAATTTGAAGCTTGCTTTTCTCCTTCTTAATTAACATGTCATATGAACTCATAATGCTCCTAGCTATGATTATTTTAATAGTGGTGATTAAATGTTTGGTATTTTCTCCCCTATGAAAGTTAACCATTTTCTTATTTAATATATTATTTCGGTTTTAGTGGGGTTCGTCAATTGGTCCCCTGCTCTACTGATAGTTCTTGAAGATTATAACAACCGGAAACACCACAATTGATGCTATAAAGGAAAAAATTCCAAAGGATTTAGTTGATTTTGCTATTTTTTTCTTGGTTCTTAATTAATGCTAGTATAGAAGAGTTGGGGAGCTAGATATTTAGATGAGGACACACTATGAAATAACAATAAGTCCATTGACTTGAGCACCACGTATTAGACTTAAAGAAGCTAGGGGACACAAAATCTCCAATATGATTTTGCTTGTGTGCCAAAGAGTCTTGGGGGACCGAGTAAACATTTTCCAAGTCATGATAACTGGACTTCATCTCTTTATTTCTAAGAACGTCTAGAGTGACTCATAACTTGATACAAATATGACCGAGGGATCAAAGATTCAAAGATACTGTATATTCACTTCCAAATGCGATTAATTGAAATAAATGATTTAACTCTAGGGACCTTATGAGAACTTAAAGAATTACTGAATCAAATGAAATACTATCCATGGAATCGCTAAATCTAGAATTACTGAGACAATTATATTCTTATTCTTCAGCTTCATGCTAAAGCTTGATAATCTTGTACTGCCACATTGTTTTTTTTATTTTGTTGGTTGATTGCTGTATTTTGATAGTCGATCTGGTTCTTGCAGAACTTTGATGATGTATTGGTACCTACTGATCATGTGAGCAGGAGTTATAATGATACATATTATGTGGATTCTGAGACTGTCTTGAGGTGCCATACTAGTGCTCATCAAGCTGAGTTACTGAGAGGAGGGCACACTCATTTCCTTGTCACTGGAGATGTATACCGTAGAGATTCTATTGATTCAACTCATTACCCTGTATTCCATCAGGTTTGTATTAATATCTGATAATCATGTTTTTTTGTCTCATTTCAATGCTCAAGTTGTATCTTTCCTTCGATGCTGTCCTGTGTGTAATATTCAGATGGAAGGTGTTAGAGTTTTTACGCCGGCTGATTGGGAGGCATCTGGTACTGATGCCACATCATATGCCGCGGAGGATCTAAAGAAATGCCTTGAGGGGTTAGCACGCCATTTATTTGGTAAAGTTTGATTTGAAATTTAAATGTTTCATTTAGAATCCACTTTATGCAATATTCAGAATCCAGTTGGATTTACCATCAGAAATGTAGCTACAGCCTACAGGTGATTGTGTTATGCTGATAGTTTCCCTTATCTAGATCTAAATTGTACTGTGATCTGATTATAATTTATGTTCATAACTAGTTGATTTTATATCATTACTACAACCCACCCCCACCCCCTCCTTTCCATCACACACATACAGAAGGATAGAAAGGAAGGTGGGAATGAAGAGAAAAATAGAAGTGAGAAGAATGGTTCCCAAAACCTAACTGAATATTTGTGCAATTATACCTCCACGTGACTAGAGAACCAAGTTTAGAACATAGCTCGTGCAACTGAATTCCTAGCTTTGTTACAGAAAACCATCAATGTGCCTCCAAATTATTAGCATACTACTGTGCATATTGGCATTTGTTGGGATCAATGGTTTTCAAATCCTCTTCAGCATTGATGTTTAGAAATTTCCAGGTGGTGTGGAAATGCGCTGGATTGACACTTATTTTCCATTCACCAACCCATCATTTGAACTGGAGATATATTTTCAGGTATTATTCTTTATTGCAGCCATTGATTAGGATTATTGTTCTTTCTACTGGCAAATCTTTTATATCTTGATTTGGCGCTTGGAAAATTTAATGTTTCTTCTCGGAGACATATGCAGTCATATGCTAAAAGTGATACTATTATTTGTAATAGAATTGCAAATAAAGTCATTTTTGGACCTGGTCTATTGCATGAGGAAACTAATGTGCACCGACAAAATAGGCTGAATTTTCTAACAAGGGTGAAATCATTTCAATCGCCCCAAATAATTGAACTATTGGTGTACGGAGGTCTGCCCATCATCTATTTTTCCCATTTTGCTTTGTCGAGTTCTGAATACTGTTAATGCTTGACATCGACTTGTAGATGTTCTAAAATAGTATAATAGTGTAATAATAGTTATAAGCAATAGTTAAGAGTTGGCCTCATTCAAGTATATGGTGTTTAGAGAAGCTACTTAGAAGTTGGATGATAGAACAGACATTGTGTGGTATAGAATGAGTGACTGTTCAAATAAGACAATGGTTGAGCTTTAGGAGGAACTGAAGGAGGCGGGGCCCAATGCTAAGGAGCTATAGTGGTACGGTGATGTTCAAGGTGTAATTAAGACACTGAGCTTGTCTCCAGACATAGGAGAAGACTGGGTGTCAAGAATCTTGAAAACTATATATCGGCAAGAAGAAAGCTAAAAGGTCGTCTAAGAGGCCGTATTAAGAGCATATGACAAGTTCTATGACTGTGTCGACATGAAAGGAGAGAAAAATAGCATAGGATAGCTGAAATAATGAAACCTTTAAATTGTCAAGTGCATTAAGGACGAGGACTGAGAGTTTTGATAAGTGATGAAGATATAAAGAAGAGGTGAAGATGCTATTTTGGAAGATTGATGCATTAATATTGGGTCACAATTATTGGATAGGAGAAGCTATTAACCTCGAGAAGAGCTTAGACATCTTGCTATTTTGTGAATTTAGGGTAGTGGAGGCAAAGGAAGACCCGAAAAATGGGAAACTTGTTGAGGCTTTGGGACCTGTCAGTATTTCTATTGAACTTTGGTAGTAGTTTTTGGGGAAGTAGCATATCTTGTTTGGCAAAGTTATTTAACAAAATCGGTACAACTAAAAAGATGGTGGGCAAGTAGGGAATGCAATATCCATTTATAGAAATAAGGGAGGTGTTTATAATTATGCTAATCAATAAGGCATTAGGTTAAAGAGTCACACAATGATATTGAAAAATGAACAGTTCAGAGATTCAAATCGGATTTATGCCATAGAGAATAAACCATGGAAGCAATACCTTAATTTGCAAGGCAATATTTTACCATTAAGAAAAAACCTCACAGTATGAAGCTTGTGGTTTAATTTTGAGATGACTTTTCACTGTCCCATCTTAAATATTCTTTGATGAGATGGACAGGTACGAACTGATATTGTGCTATTACTTAATTTGTTGGTAAAAGATTTACCCGAGGCAGGTTCAAAATTCAACTTGAAATGGTATGTTCAATAAGAAAAGAAGGAAAAACAGAAGAAAGAAACCTAAAATAAAAACTAGATATGTAGTTCTGTCGGTGATATTCCAAGTGAAATGGTATGTTCAATGGAAAATCAGAAGGTTAAATCAAAAGAAAAAGAAACAAATAAAAATTAGATACACATTCTTCATTTTGTCAGCTAACCCTGGAAGCCAATATCTTTGGAATTGTCTTGGAACTCCTGAGTTATTTCTGGTCATTAAAGATAAAAACTTAACCTGCCAATTATTTCCAAGTTCATTCGGAATTTAGTGTCACTAGCATCTGGTACCTGGAGTGTGTATGAATCAACACTTCATGAAGGAGCAAAACATTTGATGTGATCTTGTGGATTGCTTAAACACATATCTTGTAACGACTCGATTTTCTTCAAAACTCAGATTTTTAGCAAAAATTAGGAATGAATGCATCTCTAATCACAAACATAAAAGCGTTTATTTATTCATAAATAAACTA